CAGACGACTTATTATTAAGTCGCCTGGGTACTCTTCCCAGACGACTTAATAATAAGTAGTCTGCTAAGTCATCCAGCTGGAAGACTTTTCAGACGACCTCATTTTAAGTCATCTGCTAAGTCGTCCAGCTGGAAGACTTTCCAGACGACTTAATCATAAGTCGTCTGCTTCTGGAGTAAAGTAAATACATGTCTTTCAATGGCATCTTTAAAATGCCGTCCTTTGCCACCCTTGTAAGCTAGTATCGGTGGAGAGCTGTTTGGTATGGGCTGACCATAATTAGCACCCAATTCCAACAAAGCTGTGTACACCCAGACCTGGAGAGCATGTACAAACCCATCGATGGTGTAACAACCAGTTAAATCTTTGCCCTTCACAGAGTCCATCAACACCTTAGACGCGACTCTCCCCCACGGATAATTCTCAAACCGTTCTAGATCCATCACTAGCCTAGACAGAGAAGCCCGTGTATGGGTTGAATACTTCCTCCCTTCAATGTATCCAGCCAAGATGGCAAGGTACCCGAGCCGCTTGAGATCATCCGGAGACCAGTCTTCGCATCTCTGAAATGCATCTATTATCTGATCAGTAGTTGGTCCAGCTTCGACATTAACTCCTAACAACTCCCAGAAAGCAACCAACTCCTTTGTAACAGGACAGTTTGGTCTCTCAATGTCCTGAATGTACTCGCAGTTTAGACCAGTGAGGTATTCAAACTCGACCAGTGAAAACCTCAAAGGTTGTGGACCAGCAAGACTCCACAGCTCATACTTCTTCTTTATGTCGAGCTGGAAACAGAGTATGTAGTGAACCAGCCTTGAAGCCCATTCAAAATCCAGCTCTTGGAACTTGATGAAAACTCCCAACTTAGACTCCTTCAGCTCTTCATATTCTTCATCATTAAGAGCATCCCTTAGAGCAGTATACAACTTCAAAGACGGATGATACGTAATGCTATGCGGAGCGAGAGGCTCTTGCCCTAGTGTATGTATCCTACGGGGGAGTTCGGGAATATTCTGCAAAAAAAACAAAGAAAACCATCTCAAACACACAACCATCCAGTATAACATTTTAATTATAAGTCTGGAAGACTTTCCAGACGACTTATAACTAAGTCGTCTGTCAAGTCTACCAAGACTTCCAGTAGAACATTTGAAAGCTGACCTGACAATTCGGAGAAGATGTACTCGCCTTCGACATAGCGATTATAGAACTGCAAAAATAGACGTGAAAAAAGAAGCGCGATGAGAACGACGGTAACCGTAAAATATCCCCAATCTTTGAAACCCTAATTTGAAATGAAAATATCCACAACATCCAACCTAACTAAACAACAAGTCGACTGAAATCCCCAATTTTTGAAACCCTAATTTGAAACCGAAATTTCCCGAAATCATTGAAAACTCAAAACCAAACGGCAAGAGAAGCCTTCGATTTACCTTGGTCTTGTATAGGATCGAAATCGCCTCGAAATCGCCTCGAAATCGCCTCGAAATCACCTTTGAGAGAAACGGAGTTAGGGTTTTCTGAATTTCACGAAAAGTGCGTAAAAAAAAAATCTTCTTATATATGTCCGGTAAAAAATCCGGTTAGGTTTAAAAGTAATTCGGTAAAATCCGATTTGGACGACTTATTATTAAGTCGTCTGTTGATACTATACATCCGACTAAGTCGTCTGCCTTATTAAATATATTTACCAGACGACTTAATTATAAGTCGTCCAGACCCTAAACCCTAAACCCTAAACTAAATTGACTAAATTAACTACTAAACATGTTATAAAATCAAATTATACTTAAATAGAGTCTACTATATATAGAAATAAACACACTTTGGTAAATTTTTAATTTTTCAAAAAAACATTTATGCTTTCGAAAATCTGACCCTAAGAAACACATACACTACTACAACATATGTTGGCAAACCCAAAACCAAAGAATATCATCACTCACTAGTTTCACTCATCTATGTTAAAAATAATTAAATTTTGTTCTATCTTAATTTATATCTCTTAAAACTGGTGTTAATTACATGATTTCAATTTTTCACTTATCTAAATGTTTCTTACAAATTTTTTAAATTATGTTTAAGAATAACTATACCAGACGACTTTCAACTAAGTCGTCTGGACGACTTAGTTTAAAGTCGTCTGAATAGAATACTTACGAGGTTAGACGACTAATAATTAAGTCGTCTGACAAATCTTTCGGCTGGATGACTTTCCAGACGACTTAAAATATTAGTCGTCTACAAAGTCGTCCAGGCTTTTTGAGTATGTTTTAAGAATTTGTGTTAGACTTCTTAGACGACTAATAATTAAAATTGGTGTTACCATGGTTTGTACATAGAGGACAAAAGGAGTTGTAGTTATAAAAGTTGATCATCCATTACAAGTCATAGGTTTAA